ATGACCATCAACAACTTCCAGACAGTTCTATCTACCCAGTTTTACTCATAAGACTTGGATTAGTCCATGGTATAGTTTACAGTCTTATTCAATGATGCCACATGTTGGAATTGCCTTCTGAGGCCAATAACATCAAGAAGTTACCTTCTTGACAAATCAATATGTCATGGTTGTAAAGTAATAATTTTAACCACATGACCATATATATATATATATATATATTATAAAATTTCTCAGAGTTAACCTGTAGTAAAAGACAATAGGAAAACTGTAATGTGGACTTTTTCAAGGCAAAAATGAAATTAAGATATATAAGATGTATAAAGATATAAAAAGATAAAAGATATATAAAAATATACAAGATGTTATCATTATCATCATCATCCCCTTGACTTTTGTAATCATAGGGTGGATCTGAATGCAGAAGCCACACTAACTCTTTTCCACAACAGTCTATCAACATCAGCCATCAGCAATTCTCGTACAGTCATACCTGACTATTGTTTGATATAGTCCAACCAGTTTTTGTGTTGGCATCATCTCCTACGTCCACCTTCAATAGTGCCTTGCATGATAGTCTTGCACAGACCGTTGTGCCTTGTAATGTGTTCAAACCATGCCATTTTTCTCCATTTGACAGTGGCAAGAAGAGGTTCCTGGTGTCCCACAAAACTTTAAAACTTTTTCAAAACAGACTCATTCGTTTTTTGTTCCCAATAGGAAATGCCAAGAAGTTTTCTCATGCATTCGTTCTCAAACACTTGGATCTTTCTCTCTCTATTTGCCAAGTGTCCACATTTCACATCCATATAGGAAAATGGAGACTACCAGCAATTTGTACAGTCTGTACTTTGTTTGAAAGCTGATTTTACTCGTCTATGTTTAGTAAGATGTATAAAGATATATAAAACACATTCATAAAAGAAAACTGTATATAAAAAAACAAAAATCTTTGATAAGGAGTCATGTAAGTTGAATGTGCTGTGACATTGGACAATATATTTAAATGCATACTGGAAACCAGGAAAATATTCTGAAATATAGAAAAATAAAAAAAATATCTTTCACAAAGATCTTTCATTGGTCTTTAACCAAACTTATATATATGAATATATACTTGTGTGTATGTCTGTCAATCTGTTTGCATTTATTTTTATTCATGCACATAGAAGCATATTGGTATTCTAAGTTTCTTGATAGCACAGTGTCAATTCTTACAATGTTTTCAATTCCTACATATTCAAAAGTATGCTCATGAATTTGTTTATTCTTGCATGAAACACTGTTATGACTAATCTGTAAGAGAGCATAAACAAAGGAAATAAATCTCTTCTCATGAATGTTGAAGAGACAAGAAGTTAATCAGAAATTAGACTAAGTAATGCATCCAATGAAAAGCAGTTAATGAACAAGAAGGCTTGCCTTTGCTTTAATTGTTGTTAATGTTTATATATAGTTTTTGCATTTATCATTCAAGAGAGAAATTACAGGAAGTATTTGCTCTTAAAACAAGGAAGCACAAAATGAATAAAAACAGGTCAGGTTTGTTAGGTGTAGAAATATTTTTCTATAAATGAATAGAGAATTAGCAGCTTATTGGTGAAAATGTTTGAATAATTCATTTGATATTTTATGACAGCTTGTGACATTTGATGACATGATATAATAGACCATATGTAATACTTGAAGTGACAGCTCTTGATAAATGATGACATGATATCAAGGACCACATGTAATACTTGAAATGGCAGCTTTTGAGCAGTAAATCATACCAAATCAAACAGTAAAATAATAAAAAATAAATCCATTAATTCTATAGAAATTGCAGAGTTGGTACATTTATTTCTAACAGTTATAAAAAAAGATCTTTAATTGTGTAAGTATAACATATTTATTTGTAAAATTCATAGGTCTTTCTTTTTTTTCATGATATTGATATTTGATGCTAAGGATATCATGGACTGAGCATGTGAGCAATGATGAGGTTCTGGAGAGGATGCAAACAAGGAGGAAGCTTATACTTAACATCAGGAAGAGGCAGCTAAAATTTCTGGGACACATAATGAGAAAGGAGGGCCTAGATACTCACAGGTCGAATAGAGGGAAAGAGAGACAGGGGAAAGTAACGCATGACATATCTAGTGGGCTTAAGCAAGTGGATGACAGAATGTGGCCTGGGGGAAGTAGCAAAAGGACAAAACTTATTGAGAGCTACAAGAGATAGGAGGAAGTGGAGAGCCATGATCATCTACATCCTGAAGGGACATGGCACATAAAAAAAAAAGAATTTTTGTTTTTTATTTGAATTTTTTTAACTATTTAAGTGACTTCACTCACTCTTCAAATTGTTTCTCCTGTGATTGGTGGAGAATTGTGCAAAATTATGAATTTCAATGTTGTGTTGTCATGTCCCACTATGACAACAGCTATAATGATGTTGATTTAAACTGAGTCTACTGCAGTTGAAGAACCTTAGAATAGAATGCAGTGGTAATGATGGGAGAGGAATATTTGTGAATAAAGCTTTTAATCTTTAGCATACTGCATTAAATTTTTTTAAGTACAGTTAACTTTTCCACAGTTTGTTCACAGTTTTAATTAAGGCTGAAAAACCTGCTGTAATTAAAGAAATTATATAAAATATTCATTAATGAGAGAAAAACATGCTATACTTTGTATTAAGGTGAGAAAGTAATAGTAAAATAAATATTACTTGTAATACATTTTTGAAAAAACAAATTATCAGCAATACATTTTTGAAGGAAAAATATTACCAGAAATAGGCTTTTGACAAAAAAAAAATATTACCAGCAATAAAAATTGTGTCGGCATTAAATAACCCATTGAGATTGATATGCTGTAAACCAAACAAAACCTAATGGATTACGGGTCTCGTGATTGTGAAATGTGAAACAAGATTTACAAAATAGACTGCAAAAAAAAAATGAACCAAGAAATAAATAGGTGAGACATCTAGGAATTTAAATAAAAGATTGTACAATCATAACAATAGAGATTTTTAAAATATTACCCTCAACACTTTATGGTCAAAATGATTATGATGAAGGAATAATCTCATATTAAATGTTACAGGTTTAATTAAAAATTAATTTTAATGCAGTAATAGTGCTGGTCAATCTCCTCACAGATAAAGAAGAGATTTGAGGCAATAGAAATCTGGTTCTACAGAAGGATGCTGAGAATATTATGTAATGAACAAATGAGCAACACCAAAGTTTTAGTTAAAACAGAAACAAAAGGAACACTTATACTTAACATCAAGAAAAGACAGTTGGAATTTCTAGGGCACATAATGAGGAAAGAGGGTTTTGAAAATTTGATACTCACAGGGCAGATTGAAGGCAAGAGGGATAGAGGGAAACAATGTATAAAGTATGTAGCAAGCTTGAGTAAATGGATAGCAGAACAAGGTTTAGAAAAAGACAAAATTTATCAAGAGCTACAAAGGACAGGAAATTGCTAGGAGACATGATCACCTACGTCATGATGGGATATTGTATATAGAAGAATAATAAGTAGTAAATATAACAACAAAAGAATTAAAAAAGCTGAATGAGAAAATGTTCAACATTTAGATACCTCGGCTATCAAAATTTAAATTTAAAAACTGAGGGTCTTTTTATAATTTTGAATTAAACTTTTACCTGTGTTTGTGATTTTCTTCCCATCAAAGTCCCCACCTTTTTATCATGATCATGAACTCTGTAATCCCAGAGTTTTCATAAGAGCACACATATACTGCAGCTGTGGCAGCATTTGTGTGTCTTAGGCAAGATAACCTGATGTAGCCCAACCCTCTCTTGGCTGATCTGATTTTTGCTTATAATCAAAATGTGGAGGTGTCCAATTCATGAATGCATTAAGATATTCAGTTGTAATGAGTTGGTTAAATGTCAAGCATGTAGCTAAGAAAGTGGAATTCATTGATCCAGAATCCCATCAATTTACATGTTAGGAATTTGGCAAAGTATGTCTCTCCAATGTAAGCCTCATTAGCCACAGAAAGAATCATAATGGTAGACCTCTGACAAATTACAATCAATACTATGCTTAGGATAACTTAAACTGCAGAGTGTGTCACAAGACTTGCTAAAACCACTCTAGTCTCACCTGTCACTTGAAAACCTGTGAGGAACTTGAACAGTATTTGCAAAACAGGCCAGACTCTTTACAGAACAACTTAGTTTTCAGCCTCTGCAATAAATATTGCAAGTAACTTGCTGGCATCTAGAGCCATTTTCATTCTCATGAGCACTAAAACAATAAATCAAAATATCTGTAGTGGTCATACTAATTTATTGAGTCAACAGCCATCATGTATATGTAATGTATGTAAGTATATTTGTATACTTATTTTCATTGCAAGTATATATATATATATATATATATATATATATACATATTTATAATATATAAAATGCTAACACTTGGCTGCAGTACTAGATTGGCAGCTATGTCTCATCATTATACCATTGAAATAGCTAGATGTAGCCATAAATTCTGTGCTAACCTTTTCTTCTCTGGCATTTCTCATTGTGGAAATACATTCTGGCATCATGCTTTCCAGACAACTTTGATCTTCTCAATTTCATTATCTTCCGCCTTCTTAATACTTGTTCTTTTCTTGTTCTCTCTTCCTTAATTATTTTTTCTTTTTCCTATATTCTTTCACACTCAGTTACTCCTTACATCTTAGTGGCTTTATTGTCTTGCTTGGGATAAAATGATTAAAAAAAAAGAAAAAAAAGGGAGTCCTGAAAAGGTTTTGGTCTGACACACTACTCAAAATCTGACTAAATGACTTAACTTCATATTTTTAGAGACAAAATTTTTTCTTATACATGCCAAAAATTCTTCTGCACAGTTTTATATATTTATATAATTATTCACATTGCAGTTAAATACAATGTATATTGTATATATGTATGCATATGTCTATATGCTTATTTTCATTACATATCTTATTTTTTATCTTTCAGCTTGTGCTCCAGAATTTATCTCTGATGAAATCATGCAATATGGAGTAGAATTCAGTACTATGAGACTTGAGTTGAAAATCCGAGCCTTTCCACCACCTAAAGTTTTTTGGTACTTCAAGGATGAAAAGATTGAGTATGGAGACAGGTACACAGCTTACATCAAGCCTGGTGGCATAGTGACCCTGGAATTTCCTGACCTTTCCTGGAATGATACCGGTGACTACAAGTGTTACATTGAGAATGAAATAGCATTTTCCAGCAAGATTGTCACCCTGAATTTGGCAGGTATGTTTGAAATCATTATTAATTCTTTCAGTTTGCTAAAACAAGTGACAGGTATTTCTTTTAATCATTTCACCCCCCCCCCATTTCACATGATAAAGATGCAAAAGGTTACTGAGAATGATGGAAATGGAGAAAACATTGCTGAGAAAAAAAGGACAAAAGAAAAATAGGATTCAAAGAAACAGAAGATGACAATTGACATTGCATTAAAATCTTTGAAGAACCTAATTAACAGTAAAGCAGGAAGCTGGAAGAGAGTTCCACAGGTGAGAAGTGTGAGAGAAGAAACTATTAGCATAGATTTTATTGTTACATTTAGCAATTTCAACATTAAAATGATGAAGCCTAGCTCCAAATTGAGTACTGTGCTTAAATTCATATAGATGAGGTAACAAAGAGGAAAGCTCATTAGAACAATTGCCATAAAAATATTTATAGGAAAGGTGTAGAGAAGCTATATTATATCAGTAGGAAAATGACTGAAGGTGAGAAGCCAGGTCAGAACCAATCACATTATTCTTTGGATTTTCTCAAGAATCTCTAGATACATAGCAGAAGCATTAGACCAGATGTGGCAGCAATATTCAATGCACAAAAAAATGGTAGACTTATAAAGGTGGGGAAAGTGACTGAAGCCAATATGCCAGATCAGGACCAATCCCATTGTAGATTCTTCTTTGGATTTTTTCAAGAATCTCTAGATACACAGCAGGCTAACAATATTCAATGCATGGATGAATGGCACACTTATAAATATGTAAGATAGATTTGAGTGAAAAAGATTGTCAAGCATGACATAGTGAACCAACTTTCTTAGCAGCAGACCTGCTTCAATATAATCATTCCAATTCATGTCATTGAAAAAACATTAGACTGAGATGGTGCAATGAGGAGGTCAGTATAAGCTATGTTGATAAAGAGCCAAAAAGGTTCTATAGATGGTGCAATGAGGACATCAATATCAGCCATGTTGATAAAGAGCCAAAAAGGTTCTATAGATGGTGCAATGAGGAGGTCAGTATCAGCCATGTTGATAAAGAGCCAAAAAGGTTCTATAGATGGTGCAATGAGGACGTCAATATCAGCCATGTTGATAAAGAGCCAAAAAGGTTCTATAGATGGTGCAATGAGGAGGTCAGTATCAGCCATGTTGATAAAGAGCCAAAAAGGTTCTATAAAATGATTAAAGAAAGAAGAGTTTCATTTTGGAGGTATTAAAATTAGTAAGTCTTGTCTCAGTTAACAACAGTGATTTTTTTTTTTTTACATTAAGTTCAGTTTGGTTATTATTGACTTGCTTAGGGTCAAACTAATTCTTATTTTCATGGAAATATCTAATTTTGAAAATAAATTCTTATAATGGTTATGAATGTAAAAAATGGTTACTTATACGGCTAGTTGTTTAAATGACCCAATCATTTATTATTAAATAAGAAATAGTCCCCTTTAAAGTTCTCACTTTTAGACCTTGTACTCTTATTCCACCATTCCCCTTCTTTTTTTTAAAACCCCAAACAGTCTGCAAGATTGTCTTTTGGAATTGCCATGAAGCTGCTTTATTACATTCTCTAATCTCACTTATGGTGTGAAATCTGTTGTTCAATGACTGGCGCCAAATTTGGGTTGAAGGGTGGAACCACTTCCACAGAGTCAAATCATTCTCATTTCCTCCATGTTCCAAATCTATGGAGAAAGATCCATTTACACAGCTTCCCAAGAACTGCCACTTTGTTGGTGCTTCCCTGAACAATACACTCTTGATCCCTTCAAGTTAGGGATCAATCTTTATTTTTAAACCTTTTTACACATTTTTTTTAAAAATAACCTCCTACTTAGCTCTCAAGCCTTTTATTGGATAAATTTTATATGAAAAAATCATTTTGAATATCATAATTACACAGTACACAAGCTCATTCATTTGTGTCTCACTGCTGACTGATTAAATCCACTGGTAGATTTTCTGTTCACACATGTGCAGTAAAATCCCATTGGTTCGCTATAAAGTCACATGACTCATTCTTGTAATATTCAAAATGGCTGAATACTTTCCACACAGACATTGTATATAAAATGATTGTTTAACTATTATTTAAGTCAGTACTTGAATAATAGTTAAACCTGTCATTTCTGTGTCTCCACTTAAGGCCACAGCTGTAAAATTTTTAAATTCTCTAATTTAAATATAAGTAGAGGAAACTATTGGTAGTTATAATCATCATAGAAACATACACAAATTATATATATATATATAATTTATGAATTAATTCTCTGGCAAAAGTGATATTTGCCAAAAGAATGACTAAATTAAAAGAGTGTCCAAGACAATTTTCATAAAATGAAAATGTAGGGCATTGCTGGTACAAGCACAATTATATTTCAGTTTTTTTAAATAAACCAATGACTTTTTCCTGACAAAGACATCTTGGCAGAAACTGTGATTGTAGGAAGGACAGTGTTTTCTGATATTTTATATATATATAATTATTTTTTTTTAAATATGCTTCCATTGCAACACAGCAAATTACTACATTTCAAAACAAAATCATTTTTTTTTTAAGTTTATCAGCAGCATCACTTGAAGATAGGACAAAACTTCAAATTTTAAGTTTAATTTAAGATTTAAATTTTGTTTCAAAACATAGTAATTTCTGTGTCGCAATGGAAACATATTTTTAAAAAAATAATAATATTATGCTCTACTGTGTATTGAACACTGTTTTTTTTTTAAATAAATGCTAAAGAACTCTGGATTATAAATCTAACTGTTCTTTCTTTTTATTTTTGATATATATATGGCAATTATTCTAATGAGTTTTCCACTTTGTTACCTAGTCTTCATGAATTTAAGTGCAATACTAGATTGGCAACTAGGTCTCACTTTTTTACTGTTGAAATAGCTAGATGGAACAATAAGTCAAATAGTTTCTTTTCTCACACTTCTCGCCTGTGGAACTCTCTTCAGTTTCCTGTTTCCCTGTCACCTACAATCTCTTTCACTCCCAGTAACCTCTTGCATCTTAGTGGTACTATCATCTTGCTTTGGGTGAAATGATTAAAAGAAATACTTCCATTAATAAAATGACAAGAAAAATACCTTTTATGCTAACATGATACAATACGAGAAAGAATTCAGAGTCATAAAATATATATTTATGGTTGCTGTTTTTCATAAAACACCATAAAATGTCTGCACCTGATTATTATAAACTGATTAGTACTTACTGTATTTTCTTTTGTATAATGCAACTTGAGTATAATACAACCCCATGTTTCTGATGCTAAAGCCAGGAAATAAATTACATTTTTGAGTATAATATGACCCTGCTGTAAATTCACCACTATGTAAAATTTTTGAGAAGTTGTGCCTTATTATTGATTAAAATCTCAATATTGTACATATATTTCACTAAATTATTTAATTTTCCCTATATTAAAGAATAGAATTGAACTGGATGTTTAGCCATTACATGTTTTTTCTAATTTCCATTTCAAAACTTATTTCGGGGGGAAATCCAAAGAATCATCATCAATATTATTGATCCTGACCTGATGTTTCAGCTTCATTCACTTCCCCATGACCATAAAGTTGCTTCCATGTGCCTTTTATATAAATAATTTCATGGTAATTCTTCAGATAAGCACTTCTTTATGGTACCTAGACTTTATGAATTTAAGCACAGTGATAGATTGGCAACAAGGTTTCATCAATTTATTCGTCAATGAATTAGCTAGATGTAACCATAAGTTCAATGCTAACAGTTTCTTTTCTTGCTTTTCTCAGTTGTAGAACTCACTTCTGGCTCCATGCTGGTTAACTTTGATCTTCAAATATTTAAATGCAATGTCAATTGTTATCTACTGTCTTCCTGATTACACTTGCACTGCTCTTGATCCTTAGTAATGTTTCAGCTTTCTAATTCCTTCACACCCAGTAACCCACTGTGTCTTAGTGGCTTTACTGCCTTGCTTGAGGTAACCTATAAAAAAAAAAAACATGGTGCTAACTAGACATTCCTGGTAATAAATTTTAAGGTAAAATTAATCGATCATACTTTTTTGTATATCCATAAACTATGAAAATAAAAAATATTTTCTTTCTTTAAGAAGGAAGGGAGAAACAAATATGGCCTACATATGAAATACCTTTTGTAAACAATTGTTATCAACACCTGCCTAGTTTGTGTTTTATTATCTATTGTGCTGACTGTATTTGCAATGTTGCTGTTTCAAATAAGAGACTTTTTTAAGCTGAGTAAAATTTCTGAAGCTGTGTATTTGTATATAATATGATACCCCAATTTTTTGCTTTTCATTTCCATTCAGAAATTCTCATGTTATGGACAAGAAATTACGATACTTTTAAAAATGTTACCTTTTTATAAAAAAAAGAAATTATCATTTTATTTTTTATATTTCTAATAATTTTTTTCAAGTCAAATCTATATATGTTAATTTTTCTCCAACAGAACCTCCCACCATCATCAAACCAATGGAGGACCTTTTCATGGATTTTTGTGATCATGGAATTCTGCAGTGTCAAGTTGACGGTATCCCTTACCCAACTGTTACTTGGCTAAAAAACAGATTTCCTATCACTGAGAGCTCTAGGGTTCATGCCTACCATGAACTTCCTGGAAGATGGTTCCTGGTATTTGAGGAAGCCAATCTTTCTGATGTAGGTAGTTATGAATGTATTGTTGAAAATGCTGGTGGAAAAGTATCATGTACTGCTCAAGTTGAAGTATCAGGTAAATATAGTTTTATTTTTATCTTTATTTTGTTTTTTTTTACTCTCTCAAATTGCATTTGTTTTGTTTTTTTTTTTACTGTATATTTTCATTTAAAGAATAATTACTTTGGGTGAAAAGATTTAAAAAATGTTCTTGGCCTACTTCCCAAAATCATTTTAATTCCTGCCTCATTAAATTAGAGGAGAGCTAAAATTCTTACAATCAAGATTAAAAAGGTTGATTGATTTATTGTTTTCTATGGCTTATCAACCTCTTGCAGGTTATTCAAAGCCAGAAAATATTTTTAGATTATAAGAATTTATTTTTTTACGATACAAGTCTTACTAATTAATTCATAATTGGAGGGAGGATTCATACCTAATTAAATTTGATAAGAATAAAAAAAATTATAATCTGAATATAAAATGGGGGATCAAATCTATATTACAATCAATATATTAACTGATCCCTTACTTTATGACCATGGAGATTTATATACAGTTATCTTCCAGAGAATTTAAATTAATCTAAAAGATAATTGTTTTCTATGGCTTATCAACCTCTTGCAGGTTATTCAAAGCCAGAAAATATTTTTAGATTATAAAAATTTATTTTTTTACGATACAAGTCTTACTAATTAATTCATAATTGGTGGCGGGGAAGGTGGGGATTCATACCTAATTAAATTTGATAAGAATAAAAAAAATTATAATCTGAATATAAAATGGGGGATCAAATCTATATTACAATCAATATATTAACTGATCCCTTACTTTATGACCATGGAGATTTATATACATTTATCTTCCAGAGAATTTAAATTAATCTAAAAGATAATTGTTTACTATGGCTTATCAACCTCTTGCAGGTTATTCAAAGCCATGTCCATGTAACTAATCAGTATTTGATTGATTGATTTATTTTCTACAACTTATCAACCCTTTGCAGGTTATTTAAATCCAGAAAATATTTTTAGATTGTAAGAATTTAAAAAAAAAATAATAATGGTTAGCAATACATTTATTACTAATTAACTCATAGCTGGAGCAAGAAGAGCTGAATCCATAACTTTCCCAAGTATATTTGTGCATAAGTGAATTTAACAAACCGAACAAGAATTGGGAAAGGGCTCTCTAATTCACAAATGCAAGCCATTATCCATTACACCACCTGCATATCCATGCTTAAAGCATCTGATATTCCCAAACAGTTATCTATCTGGGAACTGACCAGGCTTGATGTTGCTTAACTTCGGTGATTGTATAGGAGCAAGTGGTTCAATGTTATATGGTCATAAGCTTTTTTATCAGGAGAAACTTTTTTATAACCAAAACGTGCCTTTACCAATTCAGCCACAGAGGCTAAATTGATAGAGCACATTTTTGAATTACCTATTTAAGGAATCAGGTTTTACATTGGGCTTTTATAAATCTATATCTACTAGCTTCATTTTCATACCCAAAACATAAACAATAGTCATTTTTGAATGGATTTTTTATTCACCATTATTTCTTATTACTACCAATACAACCTTTTCTGATAATTTACTAAAGGAAATGTAATTTTACTTATATATGGACATTAGTTTGTACATTTATATATGCATGTGTTTTTCTATATGAACAGAAATAACAAGAAGATTCAGTTGTAAGAAATCAACATATCCAAAGATGAAAATATGATGAAATTATTTTGTAATTATTTAAGTTTTAATCTATCACTTAATTTCCAAATTAAAATAAATGCACATTTCTCATAAGAATTTCTCACTTTCATCTAATGAAGAACAGAGAACTGGTGTTTCAATGTGATATGATTGTAAGCCAAGATTAAAAGGAACTTCTTTGTGTACAGAAACAGCTGACTTTTCATTCATTAGTCACTGGTTCCACCTGCAGAAGATTGGGAATTAATATGACTTATCCCACCATTGCAATTATAATGAAAATCCTGAGGAATAGAGTGTTAAGCAGAATTAGACTGGAAATAGGACAAGAACAGTATGGCTTTGTCAAGGTTATCAGAACATGAAATGTAATATTCATGATCAGAATGATATCAGAGAGACCAATACATATGCAAAAAGATGTGCACTAATGTCTTATAGATGAAGCAAAATTATTTGAACTACTGGAGAAATCTAGATCTATTTGGAAAAGATGTTAGAATAATCCTGAAATTATGCCGGGAGAAAACTGCTTGCATCTGAATAGAAAATAAATTAAGTAGCTATACAAAAATATAAAGGGATGTGAGACAAGGATGCATCATCTTCCAAGATTTATTCAATCTTTACAGTGACACCATCCTAAGGGAATTGGAAGCTCTGTCAGGATTTATTGTTGGTGGGTGTAATTTTAACGCTATAAGATATGCAGATGACACTTTGTTGATGGCTGATTCAGGAAAGAAAATGATAGAACCTCTTAGACAGGGTGGTAGAAAAAAGTGAGAAAAAATGATTAAACATCAGCTGCAAGAAGAGAGAAATTCTGGTTATCAGCAAGAGAAAACTTTCAAGATGTGTTACAAATTGGTGATATAAACATCAAGCAAGAGCAGAAGTTCAAATATCTGGGAAGCATTTCAATAGAAGATGGAAAATGTGACACCAAGATTGGACAAATATTGGACTAGCAAAAGAGCAATTCCAAAGTCTAAGCAAGGTGCTGAGAAATAGAAAATGTTCATTAAAAAAAAAAAAAGAAAAGAGTACTGGATTCTTATGTGGTATCCATCCTCTTATATTGCAATGAATATTGGACAATTTCTCCAAGGATGAGAAAAAACTAGAAGCAGCAGAAATGTGGTTCTGCAGAAGGATAGAAAATGGTAACAGAAAGAACACTTATACTCAAAATCTGGAAAAGATAGCTGAAATTCTTTGGACATTTAATAAAGAAGGAGAGGTTGGTAAATTTAATCCTCATGGGGCATATGGAAGGTAAGACAGGTAGGGGAAAGCCATATGAAAAGCAAGAGAGGTAGGAAGTACTTGACAAGCTTGTGTGAAGGGACGATGGAATGTCGAAGGTGGGTGTCTTAACAAAAGGAGAAAATCTGCTAATGGTCACATGAGATGGAAAGTTGTGGAGAACCATAATCTTAGATGGCACATAGAAGAAGTTTTCACATTAGTAGGGGGCTGTTATTGCCTCCTCTTGATCACATGTCATATTATGAGTGACATTGGAAACTTTCATGTTATGTTTGACAAAAACTATTTTCATGAGTAGCTAATCTACTGGAAGATGGTTGTATTTCTCTAGACTTACATCTGTATGTGGATTGCTATGGAGTCCTATTTACCCAAGTTTAATCCTTCCAGGAGTGAAACTAGATATTAAAACTAAGGAATGCTTTTGTATTTGGGATTAACATTCTTTTTGATGAGTTACTCTCCCTATGGATTTGTTACAGATTGGAGTACCTTCTGCCATCTGACTTTACTTTTCTCTAAGACAGAAATTTCTTTTTAATCTTAGTTGTAAGAATAGTGTTCATTTAACGAGGGTAGATTTAAAATGTTCCTGGTGAGATATGAGACTTTATGGTGGGCATTAATGATTTAAAATCAGTTTGACAGCTAAGTCTACTTAAAATTTGGAATTATTTTTCTTTTTGTAGTTTAATCTTAAGTGCAGAATTTGAAATTAAAGATAATAAAAACAATATGAAGTGAAAATATAATTATATTGACAATTAAGTGTAATTATATTGATAAAATTTATTAACAAATCAATCTTTATAAAATAATGTGTGCTAGACACTCAATCAGCATTTCTTAAAGTGGGCACCATGGAGCCCTCAGGTTACTTGAGTGGGGTACAGGTGTGCTGTGAATCTTTCTATTATTTATTTCATACCCCATATTCATACATGCCAAAAAAGAAGGAAGAATGCAATTTTTAAACACAAAATAAATCTGAGAAAATGATTAACAAATACATTTATATAAAATCTGCATCCATAGTTGTCACCAAAATGCATTTATAAAAATAGGCTAAATACAGAGAATGATAAGAGGCTACAATTTACTTCAATCATGCTCAACTTTAAAAAGGTTTGCACCTCAAAACAACATCTGCACATCAGTTATTAAGTTTAACTTCAATTTTTTGTAAGTAGTAAGTGTTAAAAATAAATTTATTCTTTTTTCATGTGTATTTTTAAAGATTAAATCCTTAGGGATCAATATCTGTCTATATCTCTGAAATGAGGTATTATGATTATTTGTATTATTTACATTATTCAGACTGTTATCCTCATCTTCATTGCCATATTTACAATGTTTTGGCCACTGTATGCTCCAGCCTTCTTCAGGTGATTGGAATTTTGAACCAAACTCTTTATTTTGTCCACCAGGGTAGATTGTTCTAGTGGATAAAGACTTTGGTTAGATCCAATGACTAGACCCAAAGAGTCAATACAAGGCCACAGCAGTGGTAAACCAAAAACTTGGAGAGTTGAGTTAAAGGGAAATAATTGAGATACCTGAAAGATGCATGGTATGTGGAACTAGAAGAATCAACTAAAACTTTTATCCTGGTCAAGGACTCCATGGCACCAACATGTTTGCACATTTATAAATCTACCATTTGTCAGTGCATTGAATATTGCTGCCATATCTGGTCAGATATTCCTACTATATATATATGAGATTCTTGACAAACTTCAAAGAAGGGTCTATAAAGTTATTGATCCTGACCTGGCATCTCAACTTCAGTCGTCCCTTTCTCACCGCCATGATAAGTCTTCCCTCTACCTTTTCTATAAATATTTTCATGGCAATAGTCCTGATGAGCTTTTTTTCTTAGTGCTTCACCTGTATGAATTTAAGAGTACTACTAGATTGGCAACAAGGTCCCATTGTTTTACTGTTGAACTAGCTTGATGCAAGTAATTTCTTTTCTCACCTGTGGAAACCCTTTCTGATTTATTGCTTCCCTGCTACCTACAATCATCAAAAATTTAAATTCAATATCAAGTGCCATCTTCTGTTTTTCAGTAATCTGTTCTTTTATTGTCCTTTCTCCTCACTAAGGTCTTCTCATTCTTTTCCACACTGAGGAATGCTTGCTTGGGGTGAAATGATTAAAAAAATACAATGCAGCAGAGCTAAATGATAAAGACATCAGTTATTTTAAAAAAAAAAGAGTTATGTCTCATATAGATGTTTATATGCCAGAAATACATCTTCATTATAGGAAATGTCATGTTAGCTTGAAAGTTATTTAAGTTAGAATGTTCTCTGATTTAATATTTGGAATAAATAACTTATTTTAAATGATTTTAAAATTTCAGAATGTAAACCGGTTCCAAGTTATCTGCTTTTCCGTGAAGCCAGATTGGAAAATTTCTACTATGTTCTTGAAGAAATTGGAAGGTTAGTAGCTCTAAGCAGTTCATTTATATTTTTTGCTTTTAAATTTTGGCAACTTTCTGATTTTAACTTAGATTTTCCTTTCTTTTTTTTCTTCAAGAAATGAAATATTTTGTTCCCACAAATGTTTCTTCTCTTATATTGAATGAAAAAATATGAAATAGATTGAGGTCAAGCAAAATTAGACATATTGCATGTCTGATTAAAAGTTATAAATTGCTGTTAGCCAAAATGTTTGCTTCTGAATTACATGGTTCATAATCTTATCTGTATTTTTTCTTCACTCTATTCATTAAACACCAACAATTCTAGAACTCACCACAAATGTTTTATTTTTTTAGTGATGTTCATCTAATATATAAAGCTCAAATTTTGTGTGTGTATTTACTCAGAACCTTAAAAATTAATTTAAAATTTGATATGAAATAAATGCAGTTTTATCAATTTTCCAGCATGTGTCTTATATCTTCCCCAACTTAGTTATATCCATTAAGCAAGAATTTCTACTTTGCATATTCAACTTTCAAAATCCAATTTTTAAATAATAACTTCCATTATTAATTGAAAGCTGGTCTTTTGTAATCTTTATAAACAAGCAACTGTTTTGTTCATGGGTTTTAAAATTAAAATAGATATTCAAATAAAGACATTTTCTGTCATGAAAGTGATAACAACTTTAACATTTAAAACACAGCTTAGGAGAAAAAAGTAGTAAGCAAAGTTGACATGTTTTTTAAATGCTAAAAATATATTAATTGCAAGAAGATAGAATGCATGCCACATTCAAATTACAAATTGGAGATACCAAAATCAAACAAGTACAAAAATTCAAATATCTGGGAAGTGTTTTAACAGGATTTATCTGATCATAAATAAAGAATAAACTAAAAGAAAGACTTGAACTTACACCTCTTTTACTCTCAGTATTCCAGTGAGGTATGCTGAAAGCTTATTCTATATCTCTGACTCATCTTATTTTTTGAATGACATCAATAGATAGTCTAAGCGAGCTCTGATTAAAAACAACTAAATTTAAGTAAAAAGTAATACTAATCACAAATTATTAATTGACAATGCTTCATCTAATAATAATTGAAAATAATATTACAACTAATACTACTAGTGGAAATAAAGTAATTGAATTGAAGATGAAAGAAATACTTGTAAAAAATGAATAAGAATTGACAAGGCTTCATCCAATAATAAAATTCAATATTACTATTAATACTACTAGAGGAAATAAAGCAATTGAAATGAAGATGTAAGAAATACTTATGAAAAATGAATAAGAATTGACAAGGCTTCATTTAATAATAATTCAAGATAATATTGCGACTAATACTACTAGTGTAAGTAAAGTAAATGAAATTAAGATGCAATAAATACTCATTGAAAATTAATGCTTGACAATCTAATAATAAAACTCAAGATAAAATTACAAGTATAGTTCTTAAAAATGCAAAATCCTTACTCAGAATTATCTGCCCTTGTCAGTGATGGTATCAACTTAATCCTCCCTATTATCAGTTTTCTCTTTCACTTTCATTCCCTCTAATCCCCTGGGTTAATGCCTTGTTTAGGGGGAAAAGATAAAAAAAAAAAGGAAATTTTTCTCTCCTTTGTGTTCATATTCCTTTCCTCCTGAGGCAGTTTAACAAATAGCAAAATTTCGCAATGCCTTACACTAAGAAAATTTTGTCTCTCTAATGAGGCAATATGATAAAACTTATTTTAAGTCATAAAAAATTTACATACAACAAGGAAAATTGATAAACTGTATAAATTATTCTAAGAGTCAGTCAAACTAATTTTCATTTTTGTTGTTATCACAATGTTTTATTCTATGACCATTCTCAAGTTTACAAAGATGCCGTTTATAATTTGAGATAGATGAACTCATTTTATTTTATTTTATTTTTTTCACAATGTTTCAACTGATACTTCTTCAGGCACATAAAGATAGATTCTGTAATTTTTAGCTTATCATTACAATAATTGTTTGAACTCTCAATTTTATTTATTATTTTTGCTGCATTTGTTGTCATCATAAAATTTTGGATTAATTTCATTGACTTATTCAAATGCACAATCCTTATAGAAACAAGAGAGCTGTACACACTTGAGAACAATGCTCAAAAGAAACAAAAATAGTGATATATATTTTATCTTCTGTTGGTCACCACCATTTTCTGGTTTGCAACTCCTTCCATCAAAAAAAAAAGAAAAAATTAGCCTTCCCTACTTTCGATGTAGATTGTACGTCTACAAAAAAAAATCTTTGAATGGATTAATCATAATGTTGCAGCAATGAAAAGATCAACTTTTATAATAAAAAAAAAAATAGTACAATTAACAGGTAGAATAATAAGAATGGTAATATTTTTGCTATTTCTTCATATGGAAATATTCAGCATTCATTGATTGAGCAGCTACTACTACTCAAGTTATGTTTTTCTTCACTCCCTAGCCATCAAGCATGGATCAAAGTGTAGTATCTGTTTCCCTTATCTCTAATGTTAATGGAAATATTTAGCATTCATTGACCAAACAGCTAGTGCTACACAAGTTTTGCTTTTCTTCACTCCCTAGAAATTGAGCACGGAGCAAAGTGTAGTATCTTGTTTTTTTCATATCTAATGCTAATATTAGCTGTTTCCTTATACAGAAACATTCATTCATTGACCAAATAGCCAGTGCTATTTGAGTTATGCTTTTCTTCACTCTCTAGCTATTGGACAGGGATAAAAGTATAGTATCTATCCTCCTCATCACTAATGCTAATGGTAATATTAGCCATTTCCTTATGTGGAAACATTCATCATTCATTGACTGAGCAGGTACTGATACTTGAGTTATGCTTTTCTTCACTACCTTGCCATCAGACAGTGATGAAAATGTAGTATCTGTTCTCCTCATCTCTGGTGCTAATATTAGTTGTTTCCTTATATAGAAACATTAATTAACTGAGTAACTAGTGCTATTCAAATTATGCTTTTCATCAATCACGGATCAAAGTGTAGTATCTGTTCTCATTTCTCATGCTAATATTAACTGTTCCTTTACAAGGAAATATTCAACATTCATTGATCAGGTAACTAGTGCTACTCAAGTTATACTTTCCTTCACTCCCTAGCCATCGGACAGGGATCAAAGTGTAGTATCTGTCCTCATCTTTAATGCTAATGGTAATATTAGCTGTTTTCTTATATAGAAACATTTGTCATTCATTGACTGAATAGCCAGTGCTATTTGGGTTACACTTCATTCCCTAGCCATTGGTCTGGGATCAAAGTGTAGTATTTGTTCTCCTCTTTCATGCTAATTATAATATTAGCTTTTCCTTATATGGTAACAGTCAGCATTCATTAATTGTAAAGCCAGTGCTACTCAAGTTATGATTCTCTTCACTCCATGCCTATCAGGCTGGGGACAATTTTTCAAGAAAATAGGTTTCTCAAGTCCACTGTTAATACTTTTGCTAGTATTGATAGGGCTTTCCTTCCTAACCTTTTGTTTGAAGTAGTATGGAACATTAACATCTTCATTATGTCATTATTTTCTATTTGATTTATATGTACTATCCATTTTAGTTGTTGCTGCTGTTGGTAGTCCTCAAATGATGTAGATTTGTTTAATGTTGGTCTACAAAGTTTGAAGAATGATGGTTAATATCAGAATTCTAGAATGTATCTTTGAAGGAGGCCATGAAATAGATCAGCTGAAATTTAGTAACTCCAAAATTGGATAAAACAAAAAAAATAATGAAATCAATCATCAAGTTAAACCAATATTTTTCTGTCAATTACAGAGGCAGACATGCCATCATCCGAAGGTTGGTAGAGAAGTCCACTGGGAAAGAGTTTGCAGGCAAATTCATGGTGCTCAGTGATCAAAAAGAAAAAGAGTTTTTCTATTCAGAATTGGAATGTCTGCGGGTGCTTGACCATAAATATGCTTTGAAAGTTTATGATGCTTATGAAACTGACCAATCCCTTGTTTTGGTCACTGAACTGTATCCTTTTATTAATTGCAGTCTACTTTATTTCTATGCTTGGTTTTAAAACATTTATCACATTTAAAATTACTGTATTTTTTTACTTGTTTTTGAGTTTCTATTTTTTTTTATATTGATGTTATTTGTTTTTCTTTTTGCTACTTGATGTCAAAGGTTTTAAAAAATATTTATATTCTCAGTTAATGGTGGCCAGAATCTGGTCTGTTGCCAACTTTACTATTTTTTAAGTTGACAAAAATAGTCTTTGTTTTTTAATATGAAATCTTGATGTTGTAAAGAAATAAAGCTTATACTTAAAATATTGTAATAAAGCATTCATTATATAATAAGTTTGAGTTCAAGCATGGTTTTGGAGGTTAAACATCATTAGCACTAAGTGAAGAAACCCCAGAAATACCCAATGATAACACCAATCTTTATTGATTTTCAATAAGGCTCTATTTTCCCATTATTTTTTTTCTTTTTAAGAAAATGTCAAGGCTTTTAAAAATATTTATATTCTCAGTTAATGGTGTCCAGAATTTGGTTTTCTGCCAGCTTTGCAACTTTCAACTTGACATATTTTTTTTAATATGAAATCTTAATAGTTGCATCATAGAAAACAAGTACTTGAGCTTTTCTCTCTTCCATAAACAGTAAAAGTTTCCAGGATTTAAAATGTAGCATGCTTTTAACCCTCTGAAATAGAGAAGTCATTTTAAATCCAAATTAAAAAGCAATTAACCTTTATAGGAGTTGTTAGGGTAAAAAAAATTAAATGACTTATCTCCCTTGGTTCTCATTACATATATTATTTCAGATCAGCTAAGATGAGAAATAAGCATTTTTGTTGAAATAACCTGTCAGATTCAATAAGCTATTACAGGATAGTAAAAAGTTTTCTTGATTTTGAAGATCTTTTAGTTTGAATTGACAAAAATGCTGAATAATAGACCTGTTAGGATTTGGAGACTGTTAACATTTCATTTTTGGGGTGGGTAATAGAGAGTAGCTTGGAATGAGATATTGGAGAGCCACGTTTGAAATTTGTTGTGTTCATTATTCCCCTACATGCAAATACCCTTAAGAAAGGTCTTAATCCACCACTTTTCTCCCATCTATGGGTTAAATGGAAGAGCAGATTGGGCTATCTTGCTGTGGTTGGCAACCATTGTAGGAGAAAGACAATTGAATTAAAAACCATAACAACTATCCTTGGTTTCCAGCCCTCAGCAAATAGAGGGGGAAAAGAAAAGTAACATTTCATGAATATAGAATTTTGATTATATATATAAAGTGGAGACTGAGGTGAACACTAAGTGGCAACAGACTGTTTCATGCTTGAATAGATTCTATCCAAGCATGAAATACACTGTTGGCATTTTGGTGTTAACCTCAGTGTCCACTTTTATATTTACATATGCTATATCCTTGATGTTGAGCATTTTGACCCATAAATATAGCATACGATAAAACTATATTTTTATCATATATATATATATATATATATATATATATATATATATATAGGATCTATCAAAAATACTTTTACAAACTTTGCAGGCAGGTTCCCGACACCAAAACAAGATAAAATGTCCATATAAACAGATATCCAAAAGGCCATCATTGTACCTCAACACAGCAACTCATAAAAAATGTTCAAAAATGTCCTTTACTTGCTTCTACACATGCATACACCTGTTAGATCATTACACTGGTGAACACTTTCAAATACTCCCACATGGTTTTGCAAGCCCCCATGACATGTTGATGAAGCGTCTTGTTATAGGTGGCCCCACAGGTAAAAATCTAAAGGATTGTGGTCAGGGGAACATGCAGGACATGGAACCAGTCCTCCCCTACCTATCTTTCATGGTAGATGTCAGCCAGTGCATTGTGACCAATGTGTCAAAAATGTGCTGGAGAACCATCATGCCTGAAACACATGTCTTTGTATTAACAGGGGTACAACTTCTAGCACGTATAGAAGTGTGTTTGAAATAAAGTCCCTGTAGACACCTCCTGTAAGATCCACTGGGAGAACATATGGACCTACTAGACAGCCACCTGCAATTCCAGCCCACACATTAATTGTAAACTGAGGCTAGTGTCTAGCTTGTATTGTACCATAGCGATTTTGATCTGCTCACAAATGTTGGTTGTATGAATTTGATATTCCATCTCTACCAAATTTTGCTCATCTGATGTCAGAGACAAACAATGGATCAGCAATTTGTGCAATAAACCATTGGCAAAAGTTCTATGGTGAGTGATCAGAGGGTGAAAGACCCTGCATGCATTGCAAATAATATGGATACAGGAGCTGTTCTTGGAGTACCTTCCATGTGGTACTATGAGATGTATGACATGTTAGGGCCACTTTATGTGTGCAGATACCTGGATCAAACAGCTTCTAGGATGTGTTCTTCATGGTCTGGCGTATGAGCAAATCTTGATCTTCCTTGATTAATGGTTTGTGGTGCAATGGATCCTGTCTCAGCAATTCTATGATGATGTGGCTGCTTTCAGTTTAGAAACATGATTTGATACAGCTGTACAGTCTTGTGTCCATTAGCATTCACATGGCTGTATTTAAAAATCATATCTGCCTACTCACAATATGAATATACTGTCATTGTTAAATGGAACACCTCTCTGTTAACTGATTACTACACATGTTAAACATTGCAGACAGATGGCAACACAGCATCATCTAGTGTAAAATTTCTTTAAACTTAACTCGAAAATGAATGATTTGTGGATGTATGTTTATATCGGCTTTTGAATTTTACCCTTGTTTTGGTGTGAGCAAACCACCCACAAAGTTTGTAAAAGAATTTTTTATATACTCTCTCTCTCTCTCTATATATATATATATATATATATATATATATATATATATATATATATATATATATATATATATATATAAAAAATCATATATCACAGCTTCTAGAAATATAAAAATAAATGAACCAAAGAAATTTACTAAAAATTTTCTGTGTGAATTTCTGGGATGAGAAGTTATTTACAACTGGATTAATATCTTCATTTTTGTTGTTATCATCATCACGTTTCAGCTCTTGTGCCCTCTGGCCTTCTTCAGGGGTCTGTTGCTCTGAGTCACCTTCATGGAATTTTGAACTGAACCCTTTTATTTAATCTACAATGGTAGATTGTTCTCATTCTGCTGTTCATGTCTCAAGATATTTCAGCTTATTCTTTTTAATACTGTTTCTATTGGTTGTTGAGGATTAAATTTTGTAAATTTGGTGACCTAATAGTTATCAGTTCAATCCCTGGACTGAGTAGTACAGACTCAGACTTAGTGGATAGAAAACTAGCAATAACTTAGCAACACTAAAACAAAGATGGGATATCTCTAGACATGCACGGTGGAATGAGAACACTCTAACCAGAGAGATTAAATATGGGGTTCAGTTTGAAATTCCCTGAAGGTTACCTGAACTGGCAGACATTGGAAGACCTGAAATCACAGTGACTAAAATATAATAATAAAAATAAAAAATATGAGAACAAAGGTGTGATTAAAAGCATGTGAATAATCACTAAGGATTTCTTTATCTTCTAGCAACAGAGTTCAAAGAAAGCAAATAAGACAACAGAAAGACTCTAAAAAGTATATTTTAAGACTGGTATCTCATTGAGATAAAGAACTTTATATCTTTTTTTGTTGAATAGCTTTGTAGAAATCTAACAAAAATTTTAGATATTCAAACTATAGCTAAACCATGTTTTTGTCTTGTCTGATTTTATGTTTGCATGTCTGTTCTTCCTTAACATTTTCTCAGAATTTACGGTGGTGAACTGATTGAGAAGATTTTAACATCCTACAGTTGGACTGAGTCTGATGCAGCTTTCTATATTAAGCAATTATTGATGACTCTTGATGCCTTAAAACTAAAGGGAGTGGCACATTTGGACATTAAGGTAACAAGCTATAATAAAAAAAGTATATTCATAAGAAATACTAATCAATAAAATTATATAAGCATTAAAAGTATATACTGGTAGGTATTTTATATTCAGTTAACCCAGTGATTCTCAATTCTCTTAAATGTGTTGTGATATATTGTCAGGGCATATATATATGTGTGTGTGTGTGTGGATGTAATAATGGTATAGCATTCTTTTTTCTTTTAAAGTGTCATGTCCTTTCAGAACATTGGCAATCATGGCTCTCCACCTCCCTCTATCCCTTGCAGCTCTCAACAAGTTCCTTCCCTCTGCTACCTCCCCCCCCAGACCATGTTTTGTCATCCACTTGCTTAAGCCCATTAGGTATGTCATGCATTGTTTCCCCTTGTCTCTCTATTTGATCCTGAGTATCAGATTCTCCAGGCCCTCCTTCCTCATTATGTATCCCAGAAACTTCAGCTGCCTCTTCCAGATGTTAACTATAAGCCTCCTCCTTGTTTGCATCTTTTCTAGGACTTCATCGTTGCTCACACACTCGGTCCATGACATCCTTAGCATCCTTCTGTAGAACCACATCTCTGTCGCCTTCAGTCTCTTCTTCATTTTTGAGGAAATCATCCAACATTTGCTGCTGTAAAGAAGGGCAGATGTCACGTAACATCTCAGTATTCTTTTCTTATCAAAGAAATCTTGCTGTCTCACAATACGCTGCCCAGCTTTTGAAATGCATCCTTGGCCATCCCAATACATCTATGGATCTCATGGTCACACTTAGCATCCTCTGTCAAAACGCTTCCCAGATATTTAAACTTGTGCGTCTAGTGTTCCTAACCTTCAAATTGCATTTTGGGCTCATCCTTTTACTGATGACCATACATTCTGTCTTCTTGTAGTTTATGCTTAGTCCTTTCTTCTCACTCTCCATCTCTACCTTCTGTAGGAGATTTTGTAATTTCTTTTCCATGTCTGTTATCAGCACTGTGTCATCTGCGTATCTTATGTTGTTAAGATTGTGGCCGCCAATGCTAAATCCCAGTAGAGTTTCCAATTCTCTCAGAATTGCCTCACTGTATAGGTTGAACAGATCAGGTGAGAAGATGAATCCTTGCCTTACACCTCTTTCTGTTTTTGTATATTCACTGAACTTGTTCCCCATACACATGCATGCTGTTTGCTGCCAGTATAGGTTCTTGATTATCCTGATATCTTTCCCAAATATATCAAGGTTGCTAAGCAGTTCCAGCAGATCCTTCTTGTACAGCATTAGTATTTGAATAAATGAATAATTATTAAACATTTTTTTCAAATAATTCTTTTCACTATTCTTAATATAGATGGTCTAGCATTCAATACTATGTAGGAGTACCAATATTACATAATGGTTCAGTACTCTTTTCTTGAAATTTTCCTGTACTTTGCTTACCTTTTGTAAGGTATCTTTCTCTGTTCCAATATATCTTTGGCTTTGTGTCTCATTTTCCTCTGTTAAAACACTTCCTAGATATTTCATTTTTTGCATTTCCAATTTGTAATTTGCATGTTGGATAGTTCCTTTTGCTAACAACTATACATTCTGTCTTCTTGCAATTGATGTTTAGTCCTTTCTTCTTGCTTTCCTTTGCTACCATCTCTAAGAGTTCTGGTAATTTTCCTTCTCTGTCTGCTGTTAACAGTGTGTCTTCTGCATATCTAATTGTGTTAAGATTGTTACCACCACTAATGAATCAGGGTTGCTTCAATGTAAAGGGTGAACAAGTCTGGTGAGAAGACACCTCCTTGTCTTACATCTGTTTCTATTTTTGTGTATTTACTGAATTCATTTTTAATCTTCATGCAGGTGCTTTGCTCCCCACATACGTTCTGGATTATTCTAATATCCTTCCCAAATAAATCAAGCTTACCTAGCAGTTCAAATAGTTCTTTGTGTCATAACATTTCAAATGCTTTTACATAATAGCAAAATGTTTAAATTAGGGAAAGAGTGTATTTTTAGATTTTAAATATTTTTTTCAGTTGTTGCTTTTAATTTGAAATTAAGGTTCATAAGCAACAACTGTTAATTGCTTGACTAAATCATAAATAAATTTTATCATAAACATGCAAAACCAGTAATTTTTATTATAAAACATGTTTTACCAATAAATATTCATAATGCATTCTTTTAATAACTTAATAGTCTTAAGGTATTTGAAATTTGAGATCATTCATTTTTTTTGTTTTAGCCTTTTTTTTTCTTTATCTTAATTTATAATTATAACATATTTTTAGTAGTAGAGTTTATGTTTAGTTATTCTGAGCAATTATAAAATCTTACTATCATTATCATTTTATTCTTATAAAAAATATAGATGTCTACTAAAATATAATATAGTAATAATAAGTATATTAATAACTTTGTTTTTTTTTTCTTTCAGCCTGCAAATATTATGTATGTGCAAGAAACCGATAGCATCAAACTGATTGATTTTGGATTTGCCAAGAAAATTCATAATTTTCCCTTGAAACTCAATTATGGAACACCAGAGTTTTCATCTCCTGAAGTTGTTTGCAGTGAAATCATTACAGTGTCTACAGACATATGGAGTGTTGGTGTTCTAACTTACATCCTGTAAGTACAATTCTAGATTTAATAATCTTTTTCATGAGTGATAACTATTAATTCCTGTCTTAGTAATAAGTCTGATTGGTTCAATATGGTCAAATTGGCAGTGGATATAAAAAATGACCTACAATCTGTTGTTAACTGGGGCAAGAAATAGCTTATTAATTTTAATGCCTCCAAAACAAAACTACTCTCTATTAATCATCTGAGTGAACTCTTTCTACCTTCCATCAGTATGACTGATGCTAACCTCCAGGAGAGTAAATCATTGCACCTGTGGGTTAACATTTTCCACTGATATGAAATGGAAAGATTATATTGAATCAAATGTTAAGTCTGCTGCTAGGAAAGTTGGTTTACTCTATCATACCAGACATTTTTTCTTGTTCAAATCTATCTTACATATTTATAAGTCTACCATTCATTCATGATTTGAATATTGCTGCCATATATGATCTGGTGCTCCTGCTATATATTTAGAGACCCTTGATAAAATCCAAATAAATATCTGCAATGTTATTAGTCTTGACCTGGCATTTTGGCTTCAGTCACTTTCCCATTGCTTTAATGTAGCTTCTCTGTGCCTTTTCTATAAATAACTTTCATGGTAATTGTTCTGATGAACTTTCCTCTACAGTTAAAATGCTTAGATGTAACTGTAAGTTCTATGCTAACAGTTTCTTCTTAATTCCTGTTCTTTTTTTGTTCTCACTTCTTAATAATGTTTTTCTTTCTTATATTCTTTCACACTTCATTAAACCCTATGTTTTAGTGGCTTTATTGCCTTGCTTAGGGTGAAATGATAAAGAAAATATAGAATAAAAAATTTTATTTTTTAAATTTAAGTTTCTGGTAATAGTCTTGAAGAATCAGCACCAAAATCTGAAGGCCTATTGGGATAGTGAAAAATGCCTTCAAAAAACTAAGCAAAGTATTAAGAAAACAGAAAGTTTTGTTAGAAACAAAAAAAAAATTACTGAACTGTTATGCAATATCAGTCCTCCTATATAACTGGACTATCTCCTCACAGATGAAAAAAAAAAGACTTAAGGCAACAGAAAGAATGCTGAGAATCCCACTTAGATTCAGAAAGAGGTAGTTGTAATTTTTTAGGTACATAATGAGGAAAGAGGGATTGGAGAATTTGATACTAACAAGACAGGAAGACAAGAGGAGGAAATGGAAAGCATCAAAAAGCTTACCTAATGGGTTTGTGTAATTGGCTCGTAGAACAGGAATTAGGAAAGATTTTAAAAAGACTAACCTTACTAAGAGCAAACAGGGAATGTTCTGACAGCCTGAGATCACCCATGTCCTAAAAGGATATGGTACATAGAAAAAAAGGATTTTTTTTGCATGCAGTGATATTTTCAGTGGCTAAATACTGGTTGTGCTATGTCTTGGACTGGACAATAACAGAATTGGTGCACTTTTGTTTATGCATTCTTAAAATAATGATGGAAGAAAATAAATTGATTTCTCTGTAACTTACGTAAGAACTTATTAAATGCTGATAACAATAAACACTTTTTTATACCAATGATTGGATTGCTCTTTAACTTGAAGAAGTTAAGATTGCAGTGTTAAAGGGAGCATCTACATGGGAGTTTGTTCCAAAAAGTAGCTGTTTTTGGAAAAAAAAGCTGAGTGGGACTTCTTCCTTACAAATGGAATACAGAGGAAATGTCATTGATTCAACTTCATTGACATAACATAGCAAATTTTAAATAAATATATAGGTTCACACACCTCCTTGCTCTTTTGAATAGGAGTAGAGGTTTATCCCTTGTTTCCTATTTAGGATTGGGTTTCTGGTTTCTTCTGAAGTCTACTTCAACTCTATACTTCTAACATCTCCACCTGAAGTCTGAAATTTTAATTATTATATTTTTTTCTCCTCAATAGGAGTAGATAGATTTGTTTATCATCCAGTTCATACTCCTTCCTGATCTTTTGAAGATGAGTAAAGGTTTATTCTTTTTTTTATTCTCCCTGATTAGGATTGAGTTTCCAGTTCCTGCTAAAGTCTTTTCATTCTCTTTCACTCCCAGTAGTCCCTTTTGTCTTAATGGCATTATTGCTTTATTTGGGGTGAATTGAGTTTTAAAAAAATGCCTGAAGTGGTGGAACACAAGATTGGAGTTCATCTGAATATTTGCCATGGAAATAGCAAATTTATTCAAGATGCATGAACTGATAGTATTGAATTCAATTTGAACTATACCAAACACAGAGAAGAACATTTTTTCATTAACAGATTTAGGTTGTGATGTTAAAAGCCATTACTGAATTTAGCCACAATTTTCTTCATTTTGGATTCTCATAAACATTCATTCTTTCTCAGCAGTGGCAATATTTTTTCCAATAATGATATTTTTTTTTTCAAGCAATGAAAGAAGGGAAAAGGTTTAAAAAATGTCTCTGGCCCATTTAATTGTAGGACTGTTGTTGTTGGTTTGTTCTTAGCTTACATGGACCAAATAAAAATGGTCTGCTGGCTCACATCAGCTTTGGTTGTTTCATTCAAGGTCATATTTCACACTTTTTTTTTAGGCTCAGTGCTTTTGTAGTATGTAATGCATGCCAGGAAAATACCAGAGATCCAAATCATGTTTAATGTCCATCAAGAATCTTAGATCTAAAAAGAATTGATTTTTAATATGGCATGAAGAAAGAGTTGTTATGGATAAAAACTACCACTTGTTCAAAAAGTGTAGAAACTTTGACACTAGAAAATATCATGTGCAGACAGTGTCAAAAAGACAAAATGTCGAATGGACAAAATGCCAAACACAAAATGTCGAATGAACAAAGTGTCAAATGAAAAAAGCGTCAAACTGACTAAATGATGAAAGGCCAGAAATGTGGCTACAGTAGAATACTTTTTAATTAGTATGCAAGAATCCTGCCAGTAAATAATTATTTTAAAATTTTAAACTAATATAAAAGCCTCTGATGAAAAAAAAAACTTTCTACATAATTGCTAACTTTTTGAATTTATTAAATAAATTGAATTGTGAAGTAGCCACTTATGTATAGTCTCTAATGAATATATATATATAAATATATATATATATATATATATATAATAAATAAGAATAATAGCTGGCCACTTGTATTTGAAGATACACGTCTATTAGGGCAGCTAGCCAATCCCTATTGCAGACTCTCACTCAAGCACATTTGTGTTTGTTCAACACCTACTGAGCCCACCTGTGGTTTCTACTGCAACTATGCTGAGCAGACCTTAGTTACAGTTTCTGGGAGAGAGCATGTTATCTAGAATGATCACCAATCGGAACAACAGCAGCATTGGTCATGATGACTTGTGACTTTGTGCTAACACAGCTGTTGATGGCCCCAAATGTTCCATCTACCCAAATTCACTCATAAAGCTTGGGTCAACCTGTGGTATTGTTTTCAGGCACTTTCCAAAGGTGCTGCATGCTGGAATCGTCCTCCCTCTAGGCCAATAACATCAGGAAGTCACCTTCCTGACAAATCAACCATGGTGAGATTTGAACCCAGTTCTCATGGTCAGAAAGTGAACATTCTAAGCACTCAGCCATATACCTATATATATATATATATATATATATATATAGATAGATAGATAGATATAGAGAGGAATAGGTAGGATAAAAAATGTACATATGCACAAATATTTACATATGCACAAATATTTGCATGTACATAAATATATTTATTCCTCAGGTGTTATAAATACAATGTTCAATATTAGAAAACAGATCTATAAGTATATATGAGTGAATATACACAATATCCAACATTGATAACACTACTCGGAGTTTCATACAGTTAATGCAATCATCAGATGTGAAGAATACTCTCCAAGTAGTGTTATCGATGTTGGATATTATGTATATTTACTAATATATATAAGACTCAATTCAATTTAGTAAAAAATAAAGCATAATAAGTGACCCCCAACCACAAATAGGAATTCTAACCAATGATTATGGATGCTTAATCACTTTTATGGATGTTTCTTCCTTCCAGATTTATGCAACATCTGCAGTAACACTGTCCTTAAGGGAATTGAAAAAACCCTACCAGGATTTATTATCAGTGGGTATAATAAGAGACCCTCCCCCATACAAATAGTACTGCTAACCAACGATTATGGAGGCTTAATCACTTTTAAGGATATGTCTTCCCTCCAGATTTATGCAACATCTGCAGCAACACTGTCCTTAAGGGATTTGAAAACCCTAGCAGGATTTATTATCAGTGGGTATAATAAGAGACTTCCCTCCTACACACACAAATATAACTGCTAACCAATGATTATGGAGGTTTAATCATTTTTAAGGATGAGTCTTCCCTCCAGATTTATTCAACATCTGCAGCATTGTGGGGAAAATTGTGAAAATGGCCTACCTCGGAAACGCGTTCGAATCTGCGCAGTATGTAAACACTGGTCCTTCCAACTGTAAAAAAGAAACCAAAATGGCGGCGCCGCGTTTTTTATGCCGAGTAGTCTCGGTCAGTTAACGTGAAATCTCGTTGCCTCGTGATTCGCATGCAAATCGTGGTCGGTCCGCAGCTGTATAAAAGCAGGCTCGTTTCTGCTGTTTCAAACGGAAGGCTTTCGCTCGTGAGAAGGTTGGACGTGCGACACGGTTTTCTTTTGTGCCTACCTGCTATCACCAGTTGAATTGTTGAGTTACACACTTCAAGCTATTTCGCAATGGACAAGTTCGATCTAAAGTTGATCCCAGAATTGACGGCTCCCCCACGGGCCCGACTATCGTTGAATGGTTTGAAAAGGCGAACGTGTTTGCAGGGTGTCCAAAATAAAGGAACCTGCACTAGTCATCCCACTGAGACTCACGGGAGGAGCCTCGCAGTATATCAACAACTCGGGACGATGCTGACCTAGAAGAGATCAAGGACGCCCTGTATACGGCCTTTGGAATAGATCCATTCATCGCTTGGAAACAGTTCGTCGGACGACGGCTCGAGCCGGTGAGACCGTGGATGTT